ATTTACCTATTAAATTAAAGATCGAGATTATAAGATTACAATAACTCAATAAAAAATAAATTAAAATAAATTATAAAAATAAATTTTCAATTAATCTCAAGTTAAAAGATAATATTAAAAAAAATAATTAAAAAAAATAAAATTAAAAATAATCTAGGTTAATTAAAATTAACAAGTTTATAATCTTAATTATAAGATTAAAACAATTTTATAAGAAAATAAATTAAAATAAATTATAAATATGTTTTTTAAAAAGAAAATATGTTTACTGTGAATAGTGTTATGTTTGGAGTTGCTTTCCTATTTCTTGTTAATGTGAATGTTTTAACTAATTTAAAGATATCATAATAGCCAGACCCTAATTTTTTTAAGATTTTTCTTTCATACTTTTCATTGATTAATTTCCTAAAAAAATGCAATAACTTATGCAAGGAAAAAAATGAATTTACGTCCACTCAAAATGTCAAATGTTAAATATCTAAAAGAATCTAGTGGACCGTGAAGGTCAAACAGAGCTACGACTCGGTTAATGCTCTATTCTGAGCAAATGGACCAACACCACCCCACCATCACATGCAGATTCAATGCTTTCAATGGCAGAAGAATACATTGTACTATGCGAGACTTGTCATGTAAGTAGTTTTTGGAGACTTGTGAGGTGGAAATCAACTTTGTGTGATCTTCAATTTCTTGTTCTTGTTCTTGTTCTTCTTCTTCTTCTGGTAATGAAATGAGGAATTTTGGAATGTGTGGTTTTATTGACTTAATTAAGATGTTTTTCATCAAAATCAACGCTTTTATTGATTGCAGCTTTGCCGTCGTTATGGGCAATCCTTCTGTTTTTCTTCTTTCTACTGTGCCCTGCTACTTCAAGCCTTCACAGTCGTCAGAGTGGTTCAACCAAATTTAGACACCAAGCAGTAGTGGCACGCCATGGTGCTGTTGCTACTGATGATGGTAGATGTTCCAGAATTGGGATTGATGTTCTTCGTGAAGGAGGGCATGCTGTTGATGCCGCTGTAGCTGCTTCTCTTTGTTTGGGAGTTGTGAGCCCAGCATCAAGTGGCATCGGTGGAGGAGCCTTTATGATTATCAGACTTGCCAGCGGGGAGTTACATGCCTATGACATGAGAGAAACTGCGCCAATGCAAGCTTCTGAGGTACTGAGGATTCTGACAAGTCTTTCCTAGAATATATGTGATAACCATCTTGAGTACAGAATATCAACACAAATAAAGGAAAACATGTTGCAATTTGTCACATCAACAAATGAATAGTAAGAGGTTTTTCCTTCATTTTTTTCATTGATTTGGCAGTATTTTGGAGTATGGTGATTCCTTCCTCTCTCCATCATTTTCTTCTCAATAGATTGGTAGCAGAGATAAATAATATCCCATCTCTATTATATGTAAATGGAAATACCTAATTTCCCACTTGATATTAATAAAGGTTTAAATGGTGGTATAAATCATTATATGATTTATGCCTCGTGTCTCCCCAACCTTGCCTATAAATAGACAAGGTAAAGAGCTGAAGGTGTGTGTGTGATATACAAAGTGAAAAACCAAGACAGAGAGAACAAAAGTGAAGAGAAAGCTTGAGTGTAAAGTTGAGTTGAGAAAAGTTTTCTCCTCCTTTTTGTTTGTATTGCTTTTTTGAGTGATTAATACAAACCAGTAGCTCTTTGGATAGACAAGTTGTCGTACTACGTAAATTTGTGTGTGTTTGAATGCGTTGAGAAGAGTTTTCTCCTCCTCTTTGTTTGTATTGCTTTTTTGAGTGATTAATACAAACCAGTAGCTCTTTGGAGTAGACAAGTTGCCGAACTACGTAAATTTGTGTGTGTTTGAATGCTTGAATGTCCCAACAACTGGTATCAGAGCTTGTTCTTGAAAAAGAGGGTGTTTGATCCAAACTCAAAAATCAAAGTTCTCAAAACGTGTTTTTGAACATACCATCGTGTAGAGGAAGACGAGAAGAATCCACTGGTGAAAACCCGATGAAAAATCGACGTCCTATATGCCTGCACACTCCAACACGCGCCGACAACAACACTGCCCATGCACACCGACGCGCCATACTCTCTCCGCGCATCTTCTTCACCCAAATTCCTGTAACTGAACAGGGTTGACCCGACATGTCAGCGACTAATCAGCAACCACAACAACAATTATGCACAGTCATCAGCCACGTCACAGTCCATGTCAGCACACAAACACATCAGACAGAAATCCACGTGGATCTGTCATGTCATCATTGTGGGCCCGAATTGCTTAGTGTTCGACACATCATCATAGCCACATCAGACATATTCCTCCTGACATGTAGCTTCATCTGCAGCGTCCAATGATCCAAAAGTTTGATTGATAAGATCTGAGTCATCCAAAGTCTAATTTGGGTGATTTCAATGTCGTTTCTAATATTTTTGGTCATTCCAGACACATCTGTAAGGTCAGATTTGGCAGATTTGAATCTGAGAAATATTAAAAATGATAGAAGAAATAAAGGCTGTGGGAATTGAAAAATTTAATGGAACAGATTTTGGATATTGGTAAATGCAAATTGAAGACAATTTATATGGGAAGAAACTTCATCTTCCTTTATTGGGGAGCAAATCAGAAAATATGTCAAAGGAAGAATGACAAATTCTTGACAGACAGGTTTTGGGCATTATCCGGCTATCCTTTTAAAAAAAAGTTGCTCATAATGTTACAAAAGAAAAATCCACTAGAAGATTGATGGAAGCCTTGTCTAGGATGTATGAGAAGCCCTCAGCAAATAATAAAGTGCACTTGATGAAGAAGTTGTTCAACCTGAAGATGACAAAAGGCACCTCTGTTACACAGCATCCCAACAACTTTAATACCATCACAAATCAATTGTCATCTGTTGAGATTGAGTTTGATGATGAGATCCGTGCACTCATTTTGCTAGCTTCACTTTTAAGTAGTCGGGAAGGTATAAGAACAGTTGTGAGGAACTCAGTCGGAAAATCCAAACTAAAATATGATGACATCGGAGACCTGATTTTAGCTGAAGAAGTATGAAAAAAGACTCAGGTGAAAGCTCAAGTTCAGGTTCAGCTCTCAACATCAACAATCGAGGGAGGAGACATGATATAGGCTTATCTAGAAGCAAATCAAAATCCAAGTACAAAAGTAAAAGCAAATTTGGACCCAAAAAGCAGGTTGAATGTTGGAATTATAGCAAACCTGGTCATTTCATGAGAAGTCGTATAAAACCAAAAAAACCTGAAGTTGAATCTCTAATCGCCACTACAAATGAGGTACAAGATGCTTTGATTCTTGCTATACAAAGTCCAATTAATGATTGGGTTCTTGATTCTAATGCTTCATTCCACTGTACTCCACACCATGAAATGATACAAAACTATGTTGCTGGAGATCACGATGTAGTCTATCTAGCTGATGGACAACCAATGGATATTGTAGGTATAGGAGATGTGCAAATCAAGACAATGAATGGATCTATATGGAACTTGCAAAATGTAAAGCATGTTCCTAGACTAAAGAAGAAGTTGATCTTAGTCGGACAACTTAATGATAGTGGTCATTCAATCTTTTTTTCTAAAGGTATGTGGAAGGTATCAAAGGGAGCAATAATTTTGGCTAGTGGAAAGAAAACCAGCACCCTGTATATGACCACAAGATCTGCAGACATTATTGCCTCTACTGAAGCAGAAAATCAAGCATAGTTATGGCACTATAGACTCGATCATATGAGTCAAAAGAGGATGAAGATACTTTAATCAAAAGGAAAGCTGTCAAAGTCAAAAAAATGTTGATCTAGACATTTGTGAAAGTTGTGTTCTTAGAAAACAGAAAAAGCTCAGTTTTTTAAAGGTTGGCAGGACCTTAAGACCAAGAAAGCTAGAATTGATACACATAAATTTATAGGGACTGGCTCCAGTAGCATCTCTTAGAGGTTCTCGGTATTATGTGACTTTCATTGATGACTTCAATAGGAAGGCATGGGTCTACTTTTTGAAAAATAAATATGATGTGTTTGAAACATTCAAGAAATGGAAGGCTATGGTTGAGACTGAATCATGTCTGAAGTTGAAATGCTTAAGATCTGATAATAAAGGAGAATACATTAATAAAAGTTTTAAAGAGTAAAGACCAAGAAAGCTAGAATTGATACACATAAATTTATAGGGACTGGCTCCAGTAGCATCTCTTTGAGGTTCTCGGTATTATGTGACTTTCAGTTTAAAACATTCAAGAAATGGAAGGCTATGGTTGAGACTGAATCATGTCTGAAGTTGAAATGCTTAAGATCTGATAATAAAGGAGAATACATTAATAAAAGTTTTAAAGAGTATTGCACTGTCAACGGTATCAGAATGGGAAAGATCATTTTAGGCACACCACAATAGAATGACATTGCTGAACGGATGAACATGACCATCAATAAACAAGCTAGAAGCATGAAGTTGCATTCTGGGTTACCTCAAACTTTTTGGGCTGATACAGTTCATACTGCAATTTACTTGATCAATTGTTGACCATCGGTTCCTTTGGAGTTCAGACTGCCCGAGGAAGTATGGAGAGGAAAAGAAGTACAACTCTATCATTTAAAGGTCTTTGGGTGTGTTTCCTATGTGCATATAGATTTTGATGCTCGCAACAAGCTAGATGTCAAATCCAAGAAATGTTTCTTTATTGGCTACGAAGATTAAGAATTTGGATTTCGGTTATAGGATGATCAGAACATGAAGATTATCAGAAGCAGGAACGTGATCTTATGTGAACTTCAACGAGAAAGTTTTATACAAAGATAGATCAAGTGCAGAAACAGATATGGCTGATTCATATACAAGTCCATAAAAATCTGAATTCATAAGATTAGAAGGGCTTCCTAATATTACCACTCAAGAGTCTTTACAAGAAGATTCAAGCACATTTGTACCCACTATTACACAAAAAGATGCGAAGCCAAGTGAACTAGTTGTTCGCAGGTCTTCAAGGACTGTAAAGCCTCCACAACGATTCACACTTCTACTGAATTATATTTTATTGATAGATGGTGGTGAACCATTAACTTATAAAGAATCCTTACAGGATGGAAACTCGAGCAAGTGGGAGTTAGCCATGAAGGACGAGATGGAGTCGTTGTTGAAGAACAAGACTTGGGAGCTAACCACACTACTTGAAGAAAAGAAGGCTTTGCAAAACAAGTGGGTTTACAAAGTAAAGACTGAGCATGACGAAAATAAATGGTTCAAGGCAAGACTTGTTGTAAAAGGGTTTCAACAAAAGAAAGGGATTGGCTACTCTAAAATATTTTATCTAGTTGTGAAGCTCACAACAATCAAAGTTGTTCTGGGGATAGTAGCTATAGAAAATTTACATCTTAAACAATTAGGTGTAAAAACAACATTTCTTCATGGTGAATTGGAGGAAGACATTTACATGCAACAACTAGAGGGGTTTGCAATATAAGGAAAGGAGAACCAAGTCTGCAAGCTAAAGAAAAGCCTATAT